GTGTTTATTGTTTTGACCTTCTGTGATTGAAATTTTATATCTTTGTACACACTTTCCCAAACTCTGTAATAGAAGAAACATGAAATAAGATTGTATTTCTCAGATTCTTCATACATTATTAGTAGTGCATTAATTACTTGATTAGTAGATGTTGATCAAATCAGTTCATATATATCAACATTGTTTTCTAGTAAAAACTTTAAAATAAAATGTGCAACTTTCACATGGGCCATTAAGGAATGTTCGAATATGTAATGTTGCTTCCAGTTTATAAATACATATGTGCCTCTTTTTCCATTTCTTTCACTTTCTTGTTTGTCAAATATTCTGTAGAAAATAGAATGGAAAAGTTAACATACTTTAGCCAAATTAATAATTTGTTTCTTATATTTCAGTACATATTGCCAGCCACTGTTCATATCAACAATCAGGAGCAGCTGTCGAGAGGAGATGGTCCCATTGCACTGGTCCTAGCTCCAACCCGGGAGCTTGCCCAGCAGATTCAGACAATTACCCAAGCGTTTGGCTCTTCATCATACATTCGAAACACATGCATCTTTGGAGGAGCCCCCAAAGGACCACAGGTTGGTTTATACAACGGAAACCTTGTTTTGTTTCGTATTACAGGCATCTAAAAACAGTTTTTCACGAAATATATTTAATTAACATGTATAACATTAACCATTTAAAATTCTATAATTCCACCAACCAACCAACCAAAAAGCTAACTGAGGGCGGAGGCCTGCGCAAGCGCAAGCATCGTCCCTACCTAGGTGACACCATTCCTGCGCTCAAGGCGCATTGCTGGAAATGGTAAACGGTCTTAATATAAAAAACGGAAATTTTGCTGACGCTAACTGGGTTAAGGGTACCTGTCGTAGTCTGACCTCTCCCCCTCAACCAATTTGGCTAGGGAGACCCTACCAGTAGCTATGCTACCGCCAGCATAGCTCTTGGGATCACTGTACCATTAAGTGAGGGGTTATTCATCTGTACTGTGCATTTGCGGACTTCTGTATCTATGTAAAGGTTAATTGTTGTAATCCAGCAAGTATTAACATATTACAACAAAATCGTTGTTCTTAGGCTCTAAGAAAAACGTTTGGATGCAGCGAAAATGAAGTTGCAGGAGAGTGGAGACAACTAAGTAACTAGGAGCTTAATGTATACTCTTCACTTAACATTGTTAGCATGGTTAAATCAAGAAGGATTAAGTGGGAAGGGCATATAACATGCATGGAAGAAAAGATAAATGTATAGAAAACTGCGAATGGAAATCCTCAGAGTAAGAGACCATTTGGTGAACTTTGTCATAGGTGGGAGAATAATATTAAAATAGGACTTCGAGAAATAGGTTGTGATGTAGGGTATAATGGTGTGAACTCACACTCGTTGTGCCGACTTGGCCGTCGTTTGGGGACGGCCTCGGCTGGCCTGCTGGACATCGGTCGCCCTCGGTTGCCCTTGGGCGACCTCTGGCAGCCCTCGTTCGGCACGAGTGCCTCCCGAGTTGCCGAACTAAGGGGTTCCCCACACCAGCTAACCTCGAGTCAAATCTCTCAGTCAGTGCTCTGGTGTGGTCGGCAAAGAAAGGGACCCCCAGATCCTCATGTATTTGCCTGTTACTAACGTACCAGGGCGCGTTAGTAACAAAGCGAAGACACTTGGATTGCAGGACTTGCAGCTTCCGGACGTGGGTGCGGGCAGCTGACCTCCAAATCGGGCATGCGTAATCCATCATGGGACGGATGAGCTGCTTAATTCTATAATTCACAGGGCACGGGTGTTAAGTATACTGTACATAGGCAACACACGTATACCACAGTTGATAACAAGTAGTACTGCTATTGAATTTGCTTTTGATTGCCAGTTTACTTATTTTGTATTTTTTATGTTAGTTTTTAGCTAGAAAATGCATTATGCTGTCATTTTTATTCTCTTGACAGTCCCAAATATCTTATGCCTTTTGCACAAAGGAAGTGATCATAGAAGGGTTTGGAAAAGTTTAACTGTGGGAAAATTCCCAACTAATTTGTGCAGTATGATCCCAATTTAACTTCCTCAGTTAAGATGTTTCCTAATTTAGAATCGAGTGAATATGTGTATTGGTTAGAATTTCAAGTGTGGTATCCACATTCTGTATTAATAAAATTTCCTCCATTTGAGATTTGCCTGTTAAAGTGTCCATAACCCTTCACCCCCTTTCATCTCTCCATTACTTGAAGTAAACCTTACACAGAAATTTCATGTTGTTGCTGATATTATTTTTTTGTTATTTTGCTCTGTTTTAATTAATGAATTATAACTCTTATTGTCATTATTATTGGCATTGTAGTTTTTATTAGTGGCTGAGATCATTCAGGTGACTGCCTTCCATCAAATTATTCTCAGGGTGGAGTAAACGTTGAAGGGTCAGTATTCATAACAAGATTCATGCAATTGTTGCAGGCACGAGATTTGGAGCGTGGAGTAGAGATATGTATTGCAACTCCAGGTCGCTTGATTGACTTTCTGGAGAGAGGAACAACCAACCTGAAGCGCTGTACTTATTTGGTTGTTGATGAGGCGGACAGGATGCTTGACATGGGGTTTGAACCACAGATACGGAAAATTATTGAACAAATACGGGTGAGTGAAGATTATGTAGCTATGCAGATTCTGTGGATCCGTAGTTCCAAATTCTGGATGCTGTTGCTGTGATTTGCAGGCTGGTGTGTACCTTTCTTAGAAGTTTAAATATTACAACACTGGGTGCATCTTTAAATGATCAAGGTAACTAGAAATTACTGTTCACATCTGCATCAGCTGACATTGATGTCAATCACATGTGCATTGGATATTGTGTTTTGTGGTAAGCCATTTGGCAAAAAGAAGTTGCTCTTTTATACTGTAATAGGAATCTGTGCTGCTTCTAGTTTTAAATAGAAATGTTACTGACATTCTTTTTCCTCCTATCTTGGCATGCCTCTGCCGTGTTTGTCCGTGGAGCATGAATGCTTGTGGGAGGTACATAAAATATGTGAATGTAATGCCTTCGGTGTCCACCCAAAAAAAGTGGGTGGATCCCATCCTCATCATTCTCAACAAATTTTATATGCTTAAATTATCTTGCTGGATGGAATGGAGAGATAGATTTTATGTTATATATGTGTCTTTTATGTAATGAACTTTGTAAGTTTCATGGGCTCCAAGAGCTAACAGAATTATTTCTTAGTGTCTTTTACAGAGGTGCGTCTTGGTATCAGAAACTGATTTTCTTTCTGTATTGAGATATTGAAGTTTTAGACTCTTTCATTCAAACGGGCCCTTCGTATTGGGTTCTCTTCTTTAATACAAAATGAGAGCAGTTTTCTCAAATGTTGTATGCAGTTAAAACAGAGGTGATGAATAAAGTCTAGAGAAATTATAACTAATAGTCCCAGAATTTTTTCTTGCAGCCAGATCGGCAGACACTGATGTGGTCAGCCACATGGCCAAAGGAAGTGCGCAATCTAGCAGAGGAGTTTCTCAACAACTATGTGCAAGTGAATGTTGGGTCCTTGCAGTTAGCAGCCAACCACAACATAATGCAGATTGTGGATGTTTGTGAGGAGCACGAGAAAGAGCAGAAGTGAGTGAATGTCTTAAATTGTCTAAGAAAGACACACCTGTTAGCAAGCTTCTTGTGTCTGTCAGACCATCTGATTCAGCTAATTTTATAGACATTGTATCACATGACATGACACTTCTTATTTTGAGTTGCAGTGTGACAAAGTATAGAAAAACCAACAACAAAATGTGCAGCCAAATTCAGAATTGTGTCCAACAAATCATGCAGTTCAGTTTGCAGATGTACCTATACACAATAGCGTGCTGCACAATCTTATTGAATGTGATTCAATACCAGAGACTGCAGTACATTGCATGGACTGAATATGAATAAGCCACCCTGCACATTATAATTCTTGGATGAGGCACATCTCTACCTGACAGAGTAGTGATCAAACAGAATGTGTGTTTGTACTGTGGAAAGTCTGTATTGTAATTGGCAAACAACTTGGTGTGTGGGTGACGTCATAATTCTAAAAAAAATTTATAGCAGTTCTACTAGTAATTGAAAACTCGTTGGAATGTGTACTAAACTGCACAACTCAAACTGCTGTTCAGAACTGAAACCTGAGTTGAATTCTTTCAGTGAGGTGTAACCTAGACTTCCAACACGACTGTTATGAGCTGCCTGTAATGGTCCCTCACACATCAAGTAGTTTGCTCATAGTTATTCATATTCACCAAGAAAGTGCATTGTGTGGTGTCATAACCTAAAAAACCGTAATCACAATCCCCTTACCACCATTACGGAAACTTTAAGCTCACAGTTCTAATTGCATTGCTATGTTACTAGATTGGCCACACTGCTAGATGAAATTGCGTCAGAAGAAGAAAACAAGACCATCATATTTGTTGAGACGAAGAAGAAAGTTGAAAACATTACTAGGAGCATTCGGCGTTATGGGTGAGTTGTTTCTTGTTGTGTAATTGTATGAAGTCTGGACAGCAGAAAGTAGCCAACTTAAGTATTATGATGTCTGTCAGATTCATAGCAAACAGTGTGTTGGGGATATTTCTACAATCTGTTGTTGAGGGATACAGCTACTTTGAACCTTTCGTGGTCCCCATTATACCATGTTTTACTTACAGTGTCAATAACAAGTAATTGGTCTTGCACATACTATTCAGTATTAATGAATGGAACTAACAGAGTGAGGGTGTTACACATTGAAAGTTTAAGAAAATTTAATTCATCTTGCTGTAAGCTGAAATAGGCCACTTTATGAATGCTGACATGTTATAACCTTCTGAACAGTTCAACAGATGAATGTGTACTTTCTGTTTGCTGCTGTCTTATTATAACCAGCATCACCCCTCTTTTAGTACATAATTCTGCCCATTACCATAGAATATGTCATATCTGCAAAACTGTTCTGTGGATTATGTTTAGTTTTGAGAGTCTGTGCTAAAAGTTTAATAATTTAGTTTAGTAATTTAAGTCTTTTGTTGCACAATGTTTGTTCAGAATGTGTTGGCTTCATAAATATTTTTTGTAAATCTTCTAGTATTTACCATCCTGACATTCGCTCTAAGATTAAAACTACAAATAATAGGTTATTAATGTCATCTGCTTTTTGTGTATATTTAAAAGAAGCTATGGCTACCACTTCACAACATGAGAACACTACCTCCAAGTTGGTACAACTCAATGAGACTGAATAGGTATACAGTGAAACCTCTATCCATCATTCTCCGAACTATCGTTTTCCTGGATGCATCGTCCGTTTTGTTCGGTCCCGGATACATCCCATATAAAATAATGTTACATTTTCCCACTTCTATCGTTCCTCGAACTATCGTTTTATCGCATCAGTCGTTCAAAAATCTTAGTCCTGGCCCACAATTTTTCCGCAATGATCGTTTCTGAGAAATTATAACGAAATTTACGCGATGTTTTTAGAATTTAAAATGCTGGGTTTTGAGATAAATTAATACTGAAAGACGCACAATGTTTTTGGAATACGCAGTAGCGGTGACCTGTTATGTCGCCCAACCAGCACAGATTCTTTTGGAATGAGGGGTCAGCAGTGCAGGGGTGATGGTTGGAGTGAATGGCGGTGCTCATTTTCAGAAATTTTATGAGTTTAATTAGGGTGCACTCATTTCATTCCAGTGATGCTAGATGGCATGTGCAGTGTGAATTTCTTCACAAATGCTTTTATTATAAGTACAAAGGAAAGGCGGGTGACACTTTTCATTCTTCGGGTTCATCTCGTTTCCAGTGGTTCAGTGTCTTCTACGGCTACGTTTCGTTGAGTTCGGCAGTAATAGTATTTCCATTCCTGTTATTCGCGAAGGGGGTGGGAGTGGTGTGGAAGAGGAAGACGACGAATGTGAGCCTGAAGCTGTGCCCAGTTTTGCCGAAGCACATGCTGCATTGGCAAAAGTGAAGGCGTTCTTTTATGCGCGTAATATTAGTGAACGTGACGAGGAAAACATTTTGAACGTGGAAATAGCTCTGTTTGGCCTAAAACGTAAAGTTTTGACAAACCAGTTGTCCATTAAAGACTTTGTTGGTAAAAAGAAGTAACTTTGAAAGAGAAACATTCAGTTTTTTTAAAATTTTAATATTTTAATGCTTTCCCGCAACTGTTGTTTTCCCGTATTCATCGTTTTTATTTCCCACCCCCGCCAAAAACGATGCATCGAGGTTTTACTGTACTCTTTCGAGTACACTGACATTCTAGAGGAGCTTGTCATGTGACATCACATAGGTCATCGTTCAATAATGTGATCAAAGGACTTTGTGTTGCCTTATTCCAGTATGGCACATGCTTTAGTTTGAGAACAAATACTGTAATTTATTACTGTTGTAGAGTGATAGGGTTTCCGACAATATTTTTGTGATTGCAGTAAATGAAAGTCGTTAGGGTATATAAAATTTCAGGTGAAGTGCTTACAAAATATTTTGTAATCTGCCTACACCTTTCCAGACTTGCCTATTCTTTTAATATTTTACTGTTGAAGTTTGAAGATCTGTGGTCACATTTTATTGACAGGTACCCAGCAGTGTGTATGCATGGTGACAAGTCACAGCACGAGAGGGACTATGTTCTCAGAGGTATGCACAATTTTATTTCTTTATTGAAGGAGCGTTTGGAAATTAGGATGAGTTTTTCTGCCCTGTATTCATAGAAATAATTGTTCTCTACTTTCAGTTGCTGTTTCAATGTTGGCAGATCATGATCAATTTCGGTTTTGCAAATGTTGCTCATCACTAAAAACTAAAGGAATATGTTTGAGTTCAGGGGTCTGATACTTATAACTGATAACATTGGAACAGCAATGAAGCAAAGGTTGAAATATCTCAGCCTGCATGGAGACTACATAGAAAAAATTATTTACATGTCAGTATGATGAAATATCCATAATGAAGAAGCATTAAAAGATGACTCTCTTCTGGGTTGTAGCACAATATAGTCTGGTAGAAGTTTACCAATGTTTAGGAGATTTTGCTGTCTCTATCAGGGTCATGAGAATTACGTATCCACCTTTCATGACATGACACTAATCTAGAACTGCTCCCAATCACACAGTTCACTTTTGTGCTATATCAAGCACAATGGCATGAATGGTCCCTCTTTCAGTGGTTAGCCTGTCATGTCCCAACCCTCTGAGTTGTCCGAACCAAAGCCTGATGTTCCTGTGTCACCTGTTGGAGGTCTATCAATTGATATGATTTAGGGAAAGTTCTAGATTTGCCCTCATTTACAAGATTCTATCTCATATGTCACATGCTGTGGAGTCTACTTGATAATTTCTAGTTACTCAGATGTTTCTATTCAGAGGACTTTAATATATTATTAATTAACCACATAAAAGCATACAGAATTTTATTTTCAGGGATTGGGAATTAGATGTTAAATAAGCATTGTTTTGAGTTAACTGACATTGAATTAAGGTTTTGTGGTATTAGTGATAAGCAACTCATGTTCATGGTTCTCTCTCTGATCTCCAAAATTAAGGAAGACTTATTTTTAGAATTCTTTACCCTTCCCCTAAAGTTTACCACCTTTCAGCTGGTATTATTCACCTTGGTGACAAAATGATCATTTTTCTATTTCTTTGCAGAGTTCAGAAATGGGAAGTCCCCTATCCTGGTTGCAACAGATGTAGCAGCACGAGGTCTAGGTCAGTTCATTGTTCTTATGTTGGTATGACCAGACCAATAGATATATTTGTACACAGTTGTGGGAAACTTCCCAGCTTTGCATGCAGGAAAAATAATTATTGGTAAAATAATCCACATTACTATGCAATTACTGAAATGTGAAAACAAATTAAGATGACACAAGAATGTTGGATTTTGTTTCTGTTAGGCAACAGAATGTCTTACAATAGAGGCTCACCAGTCTTTAGATTGTTATTAGTCTGGTGTGTTTTGTTTCAGAGGCACATGCAAGATGTTTGCCGTTGCAGTCTTGTAACATGTAGCAATGTCTCAGGCGGATGGGTGATTCACCTTATTCATATTGTTTCAAACATTTTCATGTTGTTTAATACCCAGATGTGGATGGGATCAAGTATGTGATCAACTTTGATTACCCGAACTCGTCTGAAGATTACATCCACCGCATCGGTCGCACTGGCCGCCGCAATACAACTGGGACTTCTTATGCGTTCTTTACCCCAAATAACAGTAGGCAAGCCAAGGATCTGGTTTCAGTGCTTCGAGAGGCAAATCAGGAGGTTAACCCTAAACTGGATGAGCTGGCCAGGCAAGGCGGTGGAGGATATGGAAAAAGAAGTAAGTCTTATGTTTTTGGCAGTATTTACTTTCTGGAAAGAAGTGAAAAGAAGAGAAACGTAAGTCTGAATCCATGAACCAAACATTTTTTACTAGTCTGCTCTCACCAAAAATAATTTTTCCCATAGAGCATAAGGATGATTTCATAAATTGTGAACTGACATCATTGTGACCAAGCAGAATGTTTTAGTGTCAGAAGTCGACCTTATAGACCTTGAAGATGCCTGTGTTCTAGGTTGTAATGACGTGTAGTATGGTAGCAGTATACCGACATTTCAGAGGTATTTGCTGCCCTCTTTCATCCTTGATGCAGGCAGCAAGCACCCCAAAAAGTCAGTAAACTTGTACAAGACTGCATGATTAAGTTTAAGGCCATTTTCATACTCACTGCTGTGAGAATCTCGAATCCTATTTCTGTTGACCTTTGTTGCAGTGTTGAAACTTTGGGGGGCATCCATTGAGAATAGCTTAACTTTTTAAGAGAGAGGAAGAAATGTGTTACTCTTCTCAGTTGTAGTTGTAATATTAACACTGGTATCCTCTAATCACTAAGTATGTTGATATGCTTTGTATAGCTTATAATGTCAATGTAATTTTGCAGGTGGTGGACGTTGGGGGTATGGAAGCTATGGTCGTGGTCGAGAGAATTACAGTGGTGGAATGAAGAACGCACACAAAAGGTTTGACAGCAGCAGCTACTCAGGTAAGTAAAATATGTGATGAATGACACTTAAAATTAGATGTCTGATATTTGTAACAGTGATTGTGAAGCATTAGATTCTTTATACAGTGTTATCCTGATACATTTTTTGACATACACATGAAAACCTTAAAGGTAAAAGTAGGACATGACATGTAAATGGTATATTTTTTTGGTGAAGTAATCAGTTTTTATTGCAGCTCATTCAGATATGTTGTGCATTATGGTTTATCACATAGAAAAGCTGCAAATAATTTAGTAGTATTAAATATATAAACAGTTGTTTTGCAGAAGAATGAATGGATGAATGCATTTGCTTGAAATTATTGCATATAAAATAATGTTATGAATGTCCGTGTTTATCTTTTCAGTTCGCAGTTGATGCAGATTAGTGATCTTATTCGAAGAAGAAATGGGTCCAGTAACTAATTTATTAATATCATCTGCTAGATCCTAGAAATGCATTTGACTGCTGTCACAAATAATTAATGTCCCTTTCTTGACAGTATTACTTTCACTATCAAGGTCTGGTTTATTGGCCAGTGACACAGTTCACTACAGTGGCATTTTCTATCATTCCAATGTATTATGAAAGAGTGCATTAAAAACATTTGTAAACTGAAAAACTGTTGACTTTGTTTTTCCTGATTCTTGTGTCCTCAGTTAAATGTTTGTCCAGAAACTAATATTAATGGTGACACTAGTCTTTCAGATGAGCCGGGATAGCTCAGTCAGTATAGTGACTAGCTACGGGCTGGACGACTGGGGTTCAATCCCCGACGGGGGCAGAGGATTTTTCCTCTAGCCTCTGCGTCCAGACCGGCTCTGGGGCTCACCCAGCCTCCTCTACAATGGGTACCAGGGTCCTTTCCCGGGGGTAAAGCCGGCCGGGGCGTAATGGTGACGACTTGCCCCCATCTAGTGCCGAGGTCAAGGAAGAGAGGAGCTATACCTCCACTCACCCCAAATGCCTACATGGCATATAGTGGGACAAACTTTACTCTTACTAGTCTTTCAGTGTTTGATGTCACCCTCAAATGTCCTCAGTCTTCCAAGTGACTGCTTTGTAATAGGTTTCTTTTCTTCACCAAAATTTTATATTAATTTATTGTTCTCTTCTGTATCTGTGCCCCCCCTACATTTCTTGGTCATGTGGGAGATGAATAAGAGATAAAGAGTTAGTCGAGATACAGCTATATTATGCAACTGTGCTTCTGTCTCCCTCTGGGGGCAAAAGTAAAGTTAGTGAGACAAAAACTGGTAAGTACCATCATTCATCCCAATGTGACAAAATTGCACCTTACTGCTTGCATCCCCAGCAGTCTGCCCTCTATGACAACTGAGAGAATGGGAAATCAACAGAATTATCTTAAATCTCCCTGAAGTTATCATCAATGATTTATGCATTATGATTTGTCTGGAAACATTCTGTTACACATGGTTCAATGATAAGATTTTGCAAGTTATGAGGTAATTTTATAGTTGGGTAAGAAGCCTTAATGTGTCTCAGTCAAGAAGAGTTAATAATAAATGTGTAACATCCATTATGAAGCTTCTTAGTCTGAGACTACTGAAACTTTGTAATGTAAGAATTTCTGGAATGGACATTACACGACTAAATGAAAACTGGCTTAAATTTCTTGTAAACAAGGTGCCAAATACATACACAGTTATATTTGGGATTAAGAAATGTGATATGTCCATCCTGAAAGATTTATTTACACTTGGAATCAGAGTCTTTGTAAAGTTAAGAGCAAACAGGCAAAACTCCTAATGATATTTTATAGTTTTTTTATTAAATCATGAAATGCTTGCAAAAATTCCAAACCATGCAGAAAAGTCAGTCCAATCAGAGGAAACTTCTGAAATCATATCCAATATTCTGTCAGCTGTGTGGTTGTATTGAAAGATATCTTAATGGATGAAGAGAGAGAGAAAACAGTTGAAAAGGAATGAAAGAAGCATTTTCTATTTTAAAAACTAATCAGTGTACAATATTATAAATTTAGATAAGTAAAATGATTTTAATTTTGACATCAATAACACAACATAAAAAAATGAAGGAAGAAAGATCTTCCTTATCAACCTGAATATCCTAAGATTTAAGACATCAAACAAAAATGATAATCTTTAGGAAAACATCTAACATAGAGTAACAAGGCTGGATGACAGGTGTTCTATTCCAGGCTGATACAGTGTTTACTCTTTGCTACCACTACAGAATGAGTCAGAAGTATGTTTACAAACTTTGTGTGCGTGTTATTTACAATAACCAAGAACATTTTCAAACTAATTCTGGTATACACAGTGTCAACACAAGGAATAAAAATCAGCTTCATAGACCAATTGCCAATCTCTCATATGTTCAGAAGAGTGCATATTATGCAGGGATCAAAATTTTCAACAGTCTACCATCAAATCTCACAAGTCTTGTAAATAAAAAGGCACAATTTAAACTAGCATTAAAAAGATACTTAATTACACACTCCTTTTACTCTGTCGATGAATTTCTAATGTTTACAAGTAATTCATAATTTATCTATTGTATATAATGGGTGGATTTATTTGTAACTTATCTCTACTTTATGTGAACCCTTTGTTTGTATTTTGTGACATTTATATAATAGTATGACTTGTATTTGTATAACATGTATTGTATTATTATGACTTATTCTACATCCTATTGTCATCTGACCAACTTATGGATCCATGGAGTGTAATAAAGATGTATTTATGATGTATAACATGTATTGTATTATTATGACTTATTCTACATTCTATTGTCATCTGACCAACTTATGGATCCATGGAATGTAATAAAGATGTATGTATGATGTATAACATGTATTGTATTATTATGACTTATTCTACATTCTATTGTCATCTGACCAACTTATGGATCCATGCTATGTAATAAAGATGTATGTATGTATGTTCCAGGATCAAAAATAAAAAAAAATTGCTATGAACAACCCACAAAATACAGCCATCTTTATCAGTGCCATTATATCACAGAATAGGTTTTCTGCAGTGTTTCTCGTATTGGATGCAAAACGTGATTATTCTATAATGCCAAACTTCGATATGAACGGCGGGAAATTGTAAAGTGAGGTTATGATGTTGTGTTTGTATCCTATATTTGTGGTATTTCCCATCAACAGAACATGTCTGTTTTTGTTTGGAGGAAGGAATTTTTAACTTACAATATGATCGCTTAAACTATTTATAACGTTTTGTTAGAGTGGCGCGCTTTCTTTTTGTTTTGTTATTGCGTGTTGCAAATGTGAAAGATGGAAGAGCAGAGTAAGTGTGATTGCATTCTTAACATTGAGCAATTTATATGCTTTGTTGGCCGGAAAGATTAGTGTAGAGGTTACTTACACACACAGATACATATTGACATTTGGTATGGATCATATTTGTCAACTTGCACCACATCCTGATTACTAGGATTTATGGACTGCATTCGCATTTGCATGTTATTTTCCGGCAAATTTGATTGTGTATGACATGTACAAAACCAATATTTGTAGTTCTGGATTCTTAATCTAACACTGATTATTGATGTAAATAATGGTCGTTTTGATTGTTTACCTTTGTCTCTTCATATATTTGTAGGTTGCAACAACCCTCAGCCACCTTTTGTAACATTTTCATATGAGGGAAATTTTCTTATGAAATGAAAGACTGGAAGAATTGACTGTGGATTGTTACAAAATTATTCCTTTACATTTATTTGAATTATTGCTTGCATGATGTAGTTATTCTGTACAAATACTTGCAGAATGGATTCGACGGAAGACAAAAGCAAAGAATGAAGAAAATCTTGATCACCTCGCACATGCTTGTAATAAGCTGGGGGAGCTGCATTTCAAACATAATCGATATGAGGATGCTTTGAAAGAGTATAAGGTATGCTAGATGGTTATGTGAGTAACATTGTGCCTTTGTGACTGGGAGTGTGCTAATCCTTCTGGTTACAAAGAAAATATTGGTGTATGGTACAGGTTTAGTAGGACAATAGGGAGTTTATTCCACATATTATGGGATTTTTCCTCCCAAGCATCATATGTACTATCCCTGTTTTATTCTTGGCTTTGCCTTGTAATCTCTAAAGCATTTTTTTTCATATTGCAGGAAGAGTCCACAGTGTGTGAAGCATTGGGAAGTGTTATCAGGCTTGCAGTAGCACACCGGATGATTGGAGAGGTATACACCAGCATGGGCCAGTATGCCAAGGCTTTGAAACATCAAATTAAGCACTTGGGTATGACATTTGCATTCTGACAGTTGTAATGAGTGTTTCCTTAGTCCCTCCTCTTGTATAATTGCCATGTAGCATATTTTTAAAAATTCTAAGTGCAAGAAGTCATACAAAATTACTAATTGGTAAATCTGAAGTGAAGAGAGCACAAGAGAGACCTAGACATAGATGGGAGAAAAATATTAAAATGGATTTTGGAGAAATAGGTTAAAGTTTAATATCCTGCTTGATTTGCTTAATTTCTTTACAGTTTCACAAAACCAGTCAATTAAGCCGGTTTTAAATCTATTTATCTGTCATTTTTCCAGTCTTACATGTTTGTATCTGCATCCTGGTATGTCTTTACATTATGTGACCTGTTATGTCCTTCTTGGACAGTGTTTTGATGTAGTTGCACTATTTTCTGTCAGCACTGGTGCTGGTGAAGATAAAACCAATAATTTTTTGCTTGTGTGTGATGTACATACATGTTTTTCAAACAGATCAAAATTTATTTAATATATGTTGTATTTGTGTTGGGTTTTATGAGATGTGTGGTGTTGGAAGATTGTGGGTAAGTACTTCAGAGGCAGAAGTGCATGGAAAGCATATTATACAGCTTCACCATTTCTTATATATTTGTTAAGGGACACTAAGAGATTTTTATATTGTAGAATTGGCAAGAGCAGAGGCCAATCAAATAGAAGAGCAGAGAGCTCTTGCAACAATTGGCCGCACATACTTCTGTGAGGCAGAGAGCATTGTGAATGATGATGTATCATACCAGTCTGCACTCTCAAATGCTAAGAATGCATACAAGAAAAGTTTGGATCTGTGTGAGAGGTAGGTTGCTATTTATTAACACTCTTGTTAACACACTTGAAAAATTAACACTTAATTTTCGATATACAGTGATTTTTGCTGTAGCAAAGAATTTCAAAGCTAAATCTCAGCCATCACCTTCTACCACTGAGTGAATTTTTATCCATTGATGCTGAATAGCACTGCTTTATATATCCTTTTTAATTTGTTGTTCCCTTTTCCCTGTGTACTGTATGTATGTTAATGCTAATACCATATTAATACTACTAATTTCTAAATAGTAATACTATCAATTTTTGAATGGTTTGTGCTTGTCGTAATAAATAAATACATCTGTTTGTACTGCAAGTTTACATCTTTACTCTTATATTTTTAGATTGCTGGAGTCCAAATGTTTTCCTCTGAATAAATCAAAAATTAATTTTGATTTAACTGATGTTGCTTAATTAATTACAGTACTTTAAAGGAATGCTTCCCTTTTGTAGTAGAATAAGGAGTCAGTGTATATTGCTTTACCAAACATCACATTGTAGTGGTTAACACCCGTATTTCATATTTGGGCTATACTTGTTTTTAATCATGAAACAATTTATTCTGAGTAAAGTTTCAATGGCTTTCCTTAGTCCCTCCATGCAAATTGTGGAACAATACCTTAGGATATGCTCTTACTACTTTCTTTCATGTACTTCCCAATTTATAATTTTTGTAACTTTTCATTTGACACTGTTTAATCAAAGCAGCTGATAAATACTTTAAATAAACTAGTGAATAGGAGGCTTTAATATTTTACTACAGGTTAAAAGGAATTGGCAAGTGGGAGCATATGGAGATGAGGGCACGGCTTCTGTTGAACATAGGCCTGGTGCTGGAATGTCAGCATGATCTACAAAAAGCCATTGACAACATCCACAAGGTTTGTCAAGTCTCTCTTAACAGAACCCAAAGGGTTAGCTCTGCTAATATTAATACTTTACATGAACATACTGATGGGACCAGATTACTTGTGAGTTCTTTGGGTGGGAATAAAGACAAAGGTGATGCACACTGTGCATGCACATCCACATTTTCTATCCTTTTCAAAAAACATTTCTTTGTTCATGGCTAACTTCTGGGTTGTTTTACCACGTGGTCTGAAAGAAGTTTACTGATATTTTACAGGTGCTTGTTGCCTGAATTATTTGGACGCTCATTACCCTTATAATTGGTAATAAGAGTGACAATATAGTCACTTTTTATAAACAGCTGTCATGTTACCGGGCTCTTCCATGTACAGCACTGGAGAACTCTGCTAGCATGTAATCAGGACCAAGTAGTAAGCTAATTCAATCCAGTCAAATTGATGGAAAACATCAAAAACATAAAATGGGGAGAATGTATACTTGTATGATATTCATATATGCATGCTATGATGATCTTATTCCATGATGAAAGGCTTTTCTTGAAAAGTTTGTAGTTGCTAGTTGGTCAGTAAATTCCCCACTTTTATATACCAAAAGGCTCATTACTATGTTCAAAGAAGTTCACAATTTCAATACAGTGTCACTATATTTTAAGATCCATTTAAATTTTATCCTCCCACCTGCACCAAAGTCTCGTAATCTCTCTATTCTCTTCAGGTTTTAAGACCAACACTTTCTGAACCATGTTGCATAAATGTCTGAATTCTGACAGGCTAGTTAAAAATTGTGTAATTTTCAGCCAGAATATTTGTTTTTCTTTTGCTGTCAGTTGAAAAAGTGGAAATAATCTGAACTGCCTCCCCATTTATGTATGCAAGGAGCCATATAAGCTTTGTGCATTTATACCATAATATATATATAAAATTAATGCATTATGGGGAAGTTTTGTATATATTTACCAGTCAATCCTCGGTTCACGAAATTAATTCGTTCCTGAAGGTCTTTGGTAAATCGAAATGTTCGTAAACCGAAACTATTTTCCCCATAGGAATTAATGTAAAATGGATTAATCCATTCCTGGACCCCAGATGATTGCTTATTTAAAATTTTACAACAGTACTTTGTGCACAAGTTCTTAACACAAAATCAATGGAAACCATTAAATCTATCACAAAGAAGATAAACATAACACTAAGCAGATCAAGCACTAAGCAGATCAAATATAGATGAAAACGTAATTTAGTTATGGAGGAGAGTTGACGGCGTAAGTGGAAGGTGGTGAGGAAGTGAAATGTTATTGTTTGGAAGGGGATTCTTTTTCTTTTTTCTGTCTCTTGGCACCACTCGACTCTGCATCAGACTCACTGGGCCTCTGTCTCACTAAAAAGTTGTCCAGAGTGATTTGTTTTTGTCTACGTTTTAAAATGTTTCTAAATTGACACATGGCATTATCACTGAAAATGTTTATGCTGCGGCTTGCTACTGCTTTATTGGGGTGATAACGTTCCACGAAACTTTGCACCTCACCCCATTTTGCACAAATTTCACGGATCAAAGGAGTAGGAAGATCAGAGACACAAACACCATTTTCATGTTTGGCTATGATTTCTTTCGTAACATCTATCATGATATTGGTATTTTTTCTTTTCACTTTGCTGCTATCATTGTCTTTCTTTGGCCCCATGCTGGATCATTCTTCTACAAATACTGCCGATGCTGATACTCCCAGCTTATTGCTCCACGATGTTGACGGCTTGCGTGTTCGTAACTCGAGACACAGTACGTCATTCGAGACGCTTTGTGTTCGGAAAATTTGTTCGTAAACTGAATTGTTTGTGATCCGAGGCGTTCGTGAACCGAGGTTTGACTGTATTTTGTTACATCTTCATTGTATTTGGAAAATATTGTACTTCATATTGGAGGAAGTATATTTACTCCATTTCCATGCATTTGCCTGTAATTGTTATGGCAGTGTTTTTTTACTAATTTGCTGATGTGAATAAATCATATGTAGGCTGTACAAATCTGCAAAGAGCACGATCTGTTTGAAGATATGTTCCGATGTTACTCCTCTCTTGGCATGTTATACCATCGTCAGCATAATAGCAGTAAGGCACTGAACATGCTTGGACTAGCGCTGGATGTAGCTGGCAGACTTGAAGACAAAATACAGCTGTCTTGTGAGGTCTTCATTAACAAGGCTGAGGTATGTCATATTATAAGACTGAATTGAAAAGGGAAGAGCCTGAACACGAAGACATGAAAGGAATTTCTGTTGCTTCTGTCTACAGAGAGAGGCTAGCAGAATAAAGTGGTAATTATTAGTGACCTATTTATGTGCATAATGTGCAGTAGTTCTGTATTAAAATTGTCATATAAACAGGTATGCCAAAAGACGTATACACTCAAAGTTAATATTCTGTAATATAATGTGATAATGTGTACACAGCCAGATCCACTGAGAAAGGGAAAACTTTGTAAATATAATGGTGTACTGAATAGCAGTCCCTCATTATGATTCATAGCATACATTAAGTTTAGTCTTCTCTTGTTGGTCATTATTATTAGGGATAGTGGGGTCCACCACATAGGTGATCCCAACTGAGAAAGAAACTCCACTGTTGCCAAAACAGAGATTAGGAAGACTGGTAAGACCACAAAAATAACTATCTGGAGTAGGAATATCTATGTTTGATTTTCATGAATCCTTAAAGATATAATGTTAATCATTTTAACATAATATATGTTGACTGATGACTCAGATACAGTTAATATGTTATGCAGGTTCTTTTCAGCCTACCAGACTTCCATGGAGCAAAGCAAGAATTGCGTCATGCATACAAGCTCAACACTCCTATAGAATCTGACCAGAAGACAATATCAAAGAACTTGAAACTTGGTAAGAATAGACTTATTGATGACATTGATGTAGACCAAGAGAAGTAATTCTTGCAGTTACAAAATTGTTGTGGTAGCGTAGCTCACTTAGTAAAGTGACTTACTGGTTGTGGGCTTGACGTTGCTCATTTGATTCTTGCCACTCTCAACATATTTTTTCTTGGAGATAGTGAAGTGTTGTTTGTCATGTTGCAGCTATTGTAATGTGTGATACTGAAGACCAGCTGCTTAATGTACCAGACACAGACTTTATCACTAAGAAGAAACTGTATGAGACTATGGGAGATGGGTGTGCTGCTGTGAAGAACTATGCAAAGGCTCTGGAGTATTATCGAAAGATGCTGGAGGTGTATCATTCAAGTTTTTATTGTGCAGTGCATGTTCATGATATTGTTAATGCTTTGGTAGCCTGTATGGGTCTGTCTTGTTTCAGTATCACATATAATATTTAGTCACTCCCAGGAGTTTTAATGAATTAACTTCTTTAAAAATTTTGTACCTCAGATTTACTTTTTAAAATATTTTTATATTTAAATTTGTTTTCAGTGTACAGAGGCCCTGGGAGAAAGTGGGCAGCAGTTAACAGCAGTGTATGTGTCACTCTCACAAACCTATAAAGACAATGAGCAATATAACCTCGCATTGGAGTTTTTTTACAAGGAACTGGAACTGTGGGAGAACAACCCTGCAGAGGTCAGCTTGTCCATTTGCCATTTGTTTCACTATTTGAATTCCCCATGTACTCAATATATGAGAATAGGTAATTTATGTGCCCCTTTATGCAGTATGTTTCAGCATGGTAAGTGTAGAAAGGAACATTAACTTTTCTGTGTTCTATTGTGCTAGACCCTGCAAGTGATTCAGAGCTATGTGAACTGCGTAGGCTATATAGTATCGACAGGATAATCAGGAACAGTGTGCGATGAATTGGTTTGGCTTATTTTAACATCTGTCTAGAGGAACTGAGTATGCCTTTCCCCTGAATAATGAGCAGCAGTGCTGTCATATATACTGTGCTTCTGTACAGAGTATTTGAATATAAAACTACAATATTTAGTGAAAAGTAATTGAAATAAATTATATTCATGAAGAAGTAAAGAGAGCAGATTAAATTTGGGTAATGCATGCTACCATTCTGTTCAGAACCTTATGCATATAATTCATTCTTGAAACATGAAGCAATACACAATACAACATTCCCTTCTATGCAGTAAAGTAGAAAGCATGCTAAACTAAACATTTCCATTTCTTTATACTTTTCAGACCTTATAAGAAATATAAAACTTATCAGTGAAAAATATATGTGCTTAAGGTGGTATTTTGCATTTTATGTTGTGCAGAGGAGCAGGAATTTTTTTTATTCTCAACCAGCAAATATATATGTTTTAGAAGCATGATCAGCTTTCATTAAAAAATGTGTCTATAAGTGATAATTATATATTTTATATCCATATTTTGAATTTGTATTTCTGTCTGTATAGTTTTGTTTAGTGGACCACAGTCAGAAACATAAGTTGTGCTGCACACAGCTCAGTACTGCCAACCTTATTTCTCTGCAGGCTTGCAAAACAACACTTAGTATTGGTGAGGTGTTAGAACTGCAAGGCAGATGTTACGAGGAACTGGAGGAAACGTATTACAAAGCTCGAAAGTTTGCTCAACAGGCTTCCAACCTGAAATTGGAGGCCACAGTGTTGCGTGAACTGCTAGGTGTTCAGAAGCTCAGGGGTCGTGATGAATTGGCATGTGAGTATTCCCAGATGTGCATATCATTGAGCTGCTATACAAGTGCAGTTATCTTCGTATGAAAGTACATACTTAGCAATCAGTGCATATCTGACCTTTTGCTATTAATCCAAATATTTGTGTGTCTATAATACATTATTTTTATGTTCTTTGTTACCAAATTTTCTAAAATAACTCATTGTAGCTATGACAAATTTATGTGACAAAATATCCTATCATGGTTAATAGAATCCAGTCCAAACAGGAGCATAATTCTAGCCTCCTCAAAAGGATATCTGTGTGTTTCAGTTGAGACTCAGAGGGAGTTGCAACTGATGGAGAAAAACGTCAAGGATGAGATGAGTAGCTCCTCTGAGGATGAAGAAGCTTCACCTGACATTGGGCATGACATCTGTCTGGAGACTTACTCAGGTTTATTTATTGTATATCAGAACATGCCATCTGCTCATCTATGTGCTTTCATTGCATTACATGTATGAAATGAATACATGGAGGGAAAGTCTCTTCTGTCTGTCCATATGTTTTATTTACGAAACTAGTGAAGAGATTTTATTAGTATAATTGTAATCTCCACTTTCCATGAAGATGAAGTTGAACTTGCCAGTTTTCTGTTGGATGATTCAATGTACAAAAAGTTGGTACATGACATTGCATAAAATATACACATTCCATTTGAAATGTTTTCAGGTGGTGAATATTTTAAGAAATGTTTGTAAAAATAGTCTATGATACCTGAAGTGTAGTAGCTGCATAATTAACAGTATATTTGTATCAGCAGTAAATGAACACCAAGGCCAATGAAGTATGAAAATAGTAAATAACCACTTGTTTGATTTTGGCTAGACCAATCCTTTCTGGTAGTTCTATTCACTTTATCAGGGTTTCTAGTTCTCACTCTTAAAAACTGTATTTTAACCTTTGGAAAACTGCTGAATGAAGTTGAATTTAATTGGTATCTTCTTAGAAAATTTTGTGTCAGCACTAAATTGTAAGATTAGGTTCATATAATTGCTATATAATTTATGTGTACAGAATGTGAAGGTAAAAAACAATAAAAAGTATATGAGAGCCTTTGTACAAAAGTTTTGCATCCAAAGGCCAGTGCCTTGGTGCCCTCAGATTTCAGTTAGCAAGGTTGAAACAGTAACAAATCGTTGGCTGAATATGGATGTTCAAATAGATTTTCCAGTGTGGAAGGAAATTTGATTTTTATTGTATAATTTCACTTGCTTTTCCAGTGGATGCAGGGGGTAGGATGTAGAGTATGTAACACTTTGCTTTCATTGCTGCATTCTTATTTGATACAGACTCGGAAAATGAAAATGAGGAGTTTGATCGGCCAAATCAGCCTCGCAGACAACCTGCACGTCTCAGAGTTCGGAAGAATGAGAAAGGAGAAACACAGCTGCATTTGTCTTGTATGAATGGCAACCTGACACTCGTCAAGAAGCTGATAGAGCAAGTGGGTCACATTGAGAGTCAGGAAACTGTATTTACTCCATCTGACAATTAACCCTCTGACGTGGTGATTTAAATACCCCGCATATACCGCTGTTGTGCTGTTCCGGCGGTAGTATTTTTTAAATGCCCGTTTACATTTTTCTCTAAAATACTTTATTTATCATAACGTTTGAACTATATGAGATACAATTATGAATTTTTCACTGCAATCCTCTTTAAAGATGGTTTTATAATCTTACCTTATAAGATGAGCACCATGTGTGTGATCAATGGAAGCAAGTGGATTAGAAGTTGAGTTTTGTATGGTAGTTCTTGAAACATCATCAAAACACAACACTACACCAATAAATAGATTCTATCCTTTTCCTGCGTTTCTGGCACTCCACACAATGTATCTGAGGCCTTCACTTGTTTACTTTAGCAGAAATATGAGCCATGAAATGTCCCCCCTCCACGTGACTATCAGTTGGCTGGGAACTGTAGCCCCTACTATATACATCATCATAAGAGTTATAACCGTCTCTTTCTAACAAGGCTTCTAATTATAGATTTCTGAGTATATGGGTGATAAAATTTTGTTATTTCTAACATACCCATACATGACCATTCCACTTGTATTCCCAACTTGAATAACCTTTTGTCTGCTTTAGATATGACCTTTTTTCCTCAGTCTTTCAACTCTGTTCCCCTCTCTTTATTTCCAGGATTTGTGGCTGTCATTTTAACCTTTTTGAGACCCTAAATTCCATTCACAACAAGCACCACATGTATGAGGGCTAGCCTTGAAAACTTGTATATCAGGCATTTATACTTAGGAATGGCCAGCACAGTTACAAGAAATACACACACTGTTGCCACATCATCAGAAGGAGGATTCCTTTCACAGCAGACCAGTCCAAAGTTCATAAAGCAGTCGTTATTCATACCATACTTATGGGTTGTAGAAATTAGACTTAGAGCCTTGCGTATATGCACGTAGAACCAGAGGCAGTCAAATTTAAATGCCCGCGTATATACACGTAAAAACATGTCAGAGGGTTAAGTAACTAGATTAATATTTTTATGCAGCAACTGAAAACACTGATAAGTGGGAACATTTTGGATCACAGAACTGCATGATTCAGCACATTTTTGTCAATCAATTGTTAGGATTCTGTTTGTTTTGTGGTTTCATTAAATGTTTTATTGGCAAAGTTTTTCTTTCTGTCTTTCTTTCTTTCTTTCTTTTCTTTCTTTCTTTCTTTCTCTTTTTTTCCCTCTCTCTTGGGTGGTAAGTTGTTAGAACAGAGAATCAGAGGAATTCCAGTGTTGGAACATCCACTGTACTCAGCCTGATTTAGTACTGTGTGACTTTCTCATGTTCCTGAAAGAAACGAGTATCATTTTAAATCAGTTGATGGAGAAATGTGACAGTGGTACTGAAGACTTTCAGAAAATGATTTCCTATGATGTTTTCAGGCATGGCAAAGATGTGTGTGTTGTCAGTAGAGTGATTAAACTTGATGAAGGTTAATCACTGTATTTCTTTTGGGGAATCAGGCCAGTTACTTTATTGTAATACATCATAAAACATACTGTTCTTCATCTTCTTAGACTGATTCCCTGTAATTTCCAGAATTCAAGTTGCTCATTTCTCAGGACTCCTTTGTTTAGTGTATGTATTTCTTGGTATTCTGGCAGCTAATTTACCATGCTTGATTGTTCAATCAATTTGTTCATGTAAATTAGTTTGGTGTAGTAGTTTAGGTTTCAGAACACTTTTGTTGTAATAGGTGAACTTACTTTTATGCTCAGAAGAAATATGTATTTCTTTGAAGTATACATTAATTTTCTGGTTTGTTGCAGTTCTTTGATTTTATGTCCCTAAATTCACAAAAGTTTTGCATTACTTAGGGTCATCCTGTAAACATTCGTGATCACTGTGGCTGGTTGCCACTGCATGAAGCCTGTAATCATGGTCACCGTGATGTCGTGGAGTTCCTGTTAGATAAGGGAGCAGCAATCAATGACCGTGGAGGCTCCCAGTGTGGTGGAGTGACACCACTTCATGATGCAGCATCTTGTGGACACTTGGATGTTATGGAGCTGCTGCTGGACCGTGGGGCATCTGGTTTGTCTCGTACCAATGAAGTATGTTGCACTTGGACCTTGATATAATAATGTAACAAACATCTAACTATACACGATATGCATTATACTGTATTATTTCCCATACTTTGTTTGTTATAAGATAACTTTGTATCAGATACAACTAGCATCCAGGTAACTTACTTTAAAGGATCAGCACCACTAATGCAAAAGCCCACCATTAGACATGATCCTGAGCTAGGTGAAGCCAGTTCACATTTTTTAATCCTATGTACTTAAAATCAGTTTCAACTCATATCAGATTTTTCAAGTAGCCATTTTTCATGACTTGCCACCAAGCTACATGTTTCACCCATGTAACATCTTTTATTTCACTGCTGTTAACAATATCTGTATGAGTCATGAAGCTTCTTATATAATAGAATCCATTCTCCACTTACTTTGTGTCTTGTAGGTTTAAATATTTTCCTGAGTGATTTGTTTACACAAGGGGTCGTCAACCTTTTTATACCTACCACCCACTTTTGTATCTTTGTTGATGGTAAAATTTCCTTACCGCCCACCAGTGCCGCACGTACTGCCCACCACCATGAAAGAGGTACAGCTCAAAGACTGAGTGATGGCCGGTAGTAAGCCCCGCCCTCGTTATGCCCACTAAACTCGTGCCTTTGGCTATGGAACTCATTCGTTGCTCCCTCGTCCACGAGTATACTTCGACAAGTGTCCGGTGAATTATTATCTATATTCAAAGTTTAGAAATGGAATTCAAAAGTAAAATGCAAAAGCATATTTTAAAAAGTCAAACTCGCGAAGTTGTTAGCAGTGTATTTGATATATGGAGGAAGAACAAAATTTGTAACAACGGACAAAAAACCCCACCACCCACCATGAAAGCTTGAATCGCCCACTAGTGGGCGGTAGGGACCAGGTTGTCGACCCCTGGTTTACACACATCTGTAATTCATATTCTTCCCTCACAGTAAGAGTGCAGGTTTCACAACCATTTCCAACAACTTTGGTGTTAATTGTTGTATTACATTGTTTGTTATAGGGTCAAACTCCACTTGACTGTCTGTTGAAGTGGTATCAGCGCACAGACATGAGATTTGGTCCAGTAGAGCAAACATTCTTTGAAGAAATTCAGATGCGTCTAAGAACTGTGCTTGAGAAGGGTTTGTTTTTTAGCTTAATATCTGAGATGTTCCAATTTTAAATCTTGGCCAGGTGGATTTGTGGTCAGTAGAAAATATTTGATAATTAGTGTAACATAATTATTGTTAGAAATATGAAAAGTATAAAGAATCACCATAAATGTAAATGTGAAGCTGTTCCTGGCCATGACCCCAGCACATTGAATGTGTATTGAAAACATAGATGTGAAGATCGATGCTTTGTAAACTTTGTTTCTAGATGAAGGTTGTGATCAGCTTGCATACCAGCTGTTTTTCTATTTGTTGTAAAAGTTTGTGATATTTGCTGGGCAGACCTCAAATCCAATGTGTAAAAACAAATTTGCCTCTCGCAGCAATTGAACCCTGGTAATCTAGTCCGTAATCACTCTGTTATTGGAACTATACTGGCCAACATATAATTGAAAAGAGCAGAAAAAATTCCTTTGGCCATCTGATTGAGTGCATTGTGTTTTGGTATATGCCCATTCCTCATGTATTTGCATTGTTACAGCTGGTCACTGTGTGGATGACCTTACAACTTCAACCACAAATGGAAACTGTACTTCTCGATCACATAACAAGAAAAGATCCAGACCAACTGCGACTCTGCGTAGAATGCTGGAAGATGTGACTTCAGAGGATGAAAGCCCAGCATCAGGATGGCACCAGACCAGTCCAGGGAGCAATGTGACATCTAGTGATGATCTGCCTCCAGGACATCACCAGGATGTAGATGCTGATGTTGATGATGGGTGGGTTGGTTCTGGACAGGAGTTGCAAAATGCTGCTGAGGAGTATCGCAATGTGATGACAATGCTGCGAAACAAGGAACAAGCAAATAAGGTACCAGCATCATCATCATCTACACTGCTTGTACAAAAACTCTAAGCATGGTAACCACTACAGCATGTTGTGCATATCCATGAAGTTGATACTATCCATATGTACTGCCTGTTTGTCCCATTACTATTGTAGAACAAAAACATTTTATTACAAGTGTGATAAGGATTGTGACTTGTGAGTGGTTTAATGTACTTTTGCATGAAAATTATTCAAACTGATGGTAATTATTTTGTTTATAGTAAGTCAAAATATTTTAGTGAATTGTGTAGTAGCTTCAGGTAAGAGGTAATGTTTTAGCTCATTTTATAAACTTGCCCTGTGACAGAACCAACGTTTCTAACTATACTGTTGCCACTACAAATATATTGTCTCTCTCGTGTGATATTTTCAGCTTTAGGCCCAGTTTTCCTGTTAGGGGTATTACAAAACAGAATCTTTCCTTTTCAGAAGTGATTCTAAGAATCTTCTTTCTGTAGGTTTATGCTTAAAAAATTATATGAGCATATCTTATTAGAACTCATTCTTACAGTGTCTTTCAGAGTGCAATGTGAAGTGTATTATTGGTGAAAAATTTAATTCTGTCACTGTTTTCTCAATTCTCCCTGCAGTCTATCTTAGAAAACACATTTTAGCTACTGTTAATCTTTATTCAGTAGTCTACATGGGATATATGGCTCAAAGAGGTCTATATTGTATTTATTCAGTAGTACTAGTAGTAGTACAGTGAAACCTCTATCCATCGTTCCCGGAACTATCGTTTTCCCGGATGCATCGTCCGTTTTGTTCGGTCCCGAATACATCCCATATAAAATAATGTTACATTTTCCCGCTTCTATCGTTCCTCGAACTATCGTTTTATCGCATCGATCGTTCAAAAATCTTAGTCCCGGCCAACAATTTTCCCGCAATGATCGTTTCTGAGAAATTAAAATGCTGGGTTTTGAGATAAATTAATACCGAAAGACGCACAATGTTTTTGGAATACACAGTAGCGATAACCTGTTATGTCGCCCAACCAGCACATTCTTTTGGAATGAGGGTCAGCGGTGCAGGGGTGATAGTTGGAG